CTCTTCTGGAAAATGGAAACAGTTAGAACATAGCACCTAGAGCTGTGAAGATCAAAGGAGTCAAATACGTGGAATAGTGCTTTGTAAACTGCGAAGCACCATTCCAATATGAAACACTGGTGTCCTTCAGACCCCAACACAGGGCTGGACATACAGCAGATGTCTACTGATAACTGTGGAACAGTGGTTCTCAACTGGGGGCGATTCTGACACCCCAGGGGCCACTGGGTGATGCCTGGAGACAGTTTTGTTTATCACAACAGGGTTCGGGGTGCTGTGGCATCTGACTGGTGGGGGCCAGGGATGCTGCTAAACGGCTTACAGGGCACAGGACAGCCCTCACAGCAAAGAATTATCTGGCGCCATATGTCAACAGTGCTGACGTTCAGAAGCCTTGCTGTAGATGGATGAAAGTGTGAAATTGTATCTGTAGACACAGATGTGATTTGTTGTTCCACTAAAGCAAAGGAGCTGTGGCCGGGGAGCTGACCATCAAGATACCATGGTGACCAAGAGCAGGGACCTCCCAGGTTAAATGAGCTGGCCGTGCCCGGGTCCGATTAAGTTGAAAACATTTTATTTCAATTCTATCCTCAGGAGGCAGCATAAATAATCACAGAAGACCACAAAGGTCAGTGGGGAAGAAAAAAAAGCTTCAGAAGTGTGGGGAAGAGATGTAAGCTTACACAGTCTAGCTGCGGGGTCTGGGGGGTGAGGAGACCCTGCTTTAGCTGGCCGAGAGGGTGGAAGGCTCTTGGGGGAAAAGCCCGAGGGGTCAGGGGGGCTTTCCCTGCCCAGGTCACTGGGGGGGCTTAGGGAGCCCCGCCTCTGTGGATGGATGTTCTGCAGGGCGGCCGTGGGACAAGCAGTGTGGAGCACGATGCATCTAGTAGGTCCTAGCTAATGAGAGAGAGAGTGGACACCCACTTCTTGGCGCCCAGGCCAGACCTCACCCCTAAACTGTGACTTTTCTAAGAACAGTGTTCATGGACTCCGTAGGTAGTGACAAATGAAGGGAGAAAAAGAGGAAAAAAAGAAAACTGTAAAAGACCAAGTGAAATGTGGCATCTCCCAGGGTCCTGTGACCTCGGGCTGCTTTTCAGTTTCTTTATCTGCGAAGTGGGGAGAATGCTCCCTTCCTCTGGGAGCTGAGATGAGGCTCAAATGGGATCCTAAGTGTCGAAGGGCTGTATAAACTTTAAAGTGCTACACCCACGTGAGGGGCTGTGGTCATCCTACAACTGTTAAGGCTGACCGTGACTGAGAGCGCAGGGCCGAGACATGCACACAGAGCAGCCCTCGGAGCCATCAGGCCCCTGCTCGGCCTCCCCAGGGCCAGCTCCACCCTTCTCAGCCTCAGCCTCCAGGAGGAAGAGGCCTCATCTCAGAGGGAGTCCCCTGGGGGGTGGGAGCAGAAGGTGGGGGCCAGGAGGACGCAGGGGCACTGAGTGTGAGGGGCCTCGGCTGGGCAGTGAGACACATTGGCACTACTGGTGTTGGGAGGCTCCCAGCCTTCTCCTCAACGGAGACTTGGGCCCTGGTAATGCCCCCGTGGGTTTGGCATCTTGATGCAGTGGGAAGGGTCCGGGCCTGAGGTCTGCACACCACTGCTCCTGGTCCTGGGTCCACTGTTCATCTGCTGGGTGACTTAGTGAAGCCACTACCCCATTGCAACCCTCAGTTCTGTCACTTGTAAAATGGAGACACGATTCCCTATCCTGCCTGCTTCACAAAGTCAATGGGAGAAGGGCGTTGCCAGAGCTTTGAAGAGCCTCAGGGGAAAGCAAGGGGGCATTATGGCCTTGGCGAGCGATCCTCTTAATTCCCTGAAGATAAGAGAGAGGGGGCAAGAGACAGGAAGGAGTTGGGCTGCTCGCAACCCTTGTCAGGTGAGTGGGCTTCCAGGGCTGCCGGGGGGAGAGGGAGGTGGGGGATGGGAGGGAGAACAGCTGATGCCGGCAATCCAGCTCTTACTGTGCGGTCCATCGGGACCACTGTGAGCCCCAGCAGGGAGCACGGAGATGTGCCGGCAGCCCCCTTTGCCGGGGAAAAGTTCAACCTCTAAGTCTCCTGGGGTCCTGGCTTCCCCCTCCGCTCCCTGGTCCATTGAGGGCACCTCTCGGGGAGTCCGAGGTCTTTGCCAGCCAAGGGGAAGCCGAGGCTCCTGGGGTGGCAGGGGAAGGGGCTGCCAGCCTGGGTCTCCGGGAGAGGCTGGGGGCTTTTGTTAGCATGAGGTCGACAGGTCAAAGGTCAGCTTCCAGTTCTTGAGGTGGCAGGTGGGGTCCTCAGACACTCCCCCAGCTCCAGTCCTGGCTCTGTCTCTGGGGTCACCGGAGAATGGGAAGTTAACGGACGAGTAGAAACAACGGAGAGATCGGCTTAGAAAGCAGCTCAGCCGGGGAGCTAACAGTTCTTGGGGCTGTTGCGCAAGTTTTTCAGTTCCAGCTGTAGCTGCCGAATGCGGATGTCCTTCTGGGCCAGCTCCTCTTTCAACCTCCGAATCTCATCCTGCTGCCGGAAGAACATCCGGAGGAGCTGGGGTGGGTGAGAGAGGGGGCCGGTGAGCCAAAGAGAGCAGGTGAGAAGGTGACATTTCGAGGGGGCATCCAGACCCCCAACTCCACCCCCATGCCCCTTGCAGCCGCTGTCCTCCTGGCCCAGGCCTCCCACCCCTCCCCCGTTCCGGTGTCCCAGGTGACTCAGGTCACTGCCGCTCTCCCTTCTCCAGATTCAGCTCATGGCTCCCACCCACGTCCACCCCCAGCCCGCACCGTGAGGCAGAGGAGAAAAGCTCTGGCATATGCAGACCCGCCTCAGGCACTGATCCAGGGTCACTGAAGAAGGGATGAGTCCACACAGGCCAGTTTTCCAGTATCCCGAGCTCACCCTTTTAGGGCTTCAAACCGAATACTTCATTTACCTGCCACTCGGAATAGAAAGCTTTCTAAACTGTTCTGCATCAACGAAGCTCAGGATACAGAATGGAATCCAGCTTCTTTTT